ACTAGCAATTAACGCTAATCTCTACCCTACTAGGTTGGCTTAAAAACAGTCGAGCTCTGTGGGTCACTGTGGCCTCGGTGAGGCCAGAATTGGGGTTTGAACACAAGCAAGCTCTGCGGGTCACCTGTACCTCCAATAATGGCTTCGTGGCGTGGCTCAAAAGACTCGAAGCTAACGGAGAGCTCGGCGGGTCCCCGACACGTTCACCTTTTCTTATATACAGTATTTATAATAAAAAATTCATATACTGTACCTCTTTGTATTTGTTTAAGAGTTTCTGTGCTTTTTTGAGTTTTTGTTCATCCATGCTGTTTTTAAGGATTTCTTCTAGACACTTTAAATAAAGACTTATTTTAGCACGGGTTGTTCCTAACTCACATTCTTCTAGAAAACTATCGAGAATCCATTTGGAAGGTTTACGAGAAAAGTATGAGTGCATTTTCTATTAAAAAAATTAATAAAAATCTGTTTATTGACAAATTTCATCCTAAAACGCATATGCATTACGCGTTTGTGTACAGTAGTAAGATGATCATCATATGATCGATACTGCCGCGGTATCACGAGATATCGTAGTACACAGAAAAATATTCCAAATAAAAAAAGATAAAAAAAATTTTGTCGTTGTTGTTATTGCATCAGCCGGGAGTCGAACCCGGGCCACTCGCTTGGAAGGCGAGTATTCTGCCACTATACTACTGATGCCGTCTTATGTATTTGTGAATTTTTTTAAAATATAATAACCTTTTTTTTTTTCTATATATACGGATTTTTAAGTATTCACCAATCAGATAGAATTGTATTTTAGAATATCTACGAATATCAATATGTCGAAAATTTATTTCCCTTTACCATGGCAAGTAATTTACCAGAATCAGATCTTTATATAGGTGAGAGAACAAGCAAACAACAGGGCTCCTTCCATTCGTTATGTTGTACTAATTTAATTTTTATTAAAGATTACAAGGCATTTTTATCGAATAATTTTGATCCTAAAGAGTATGCAAATTCTACTGTAAACTCCACCTCCGACGGTGAAGGTGATATAACAATATCACTTGCAAAATTGTCGTTTAGTATTGATAATTTAAATAAACAATTACATGATCAGGTTTAGCCTATAGAATTTTTTTTTTTTTGTATTTGCGTCAATTTATTTTTATTAGGAAAATTTCTAAATTCC